CTAAAAGTACAATTAAAGCCTAATAAGATAGCTGTGAACTCCCAACACTATTCTTCGATCCATTACTTTTTTAAAAAGAACCTTAGGATTGAGACCCCTTTTGAACCGTCTTCTTCTTCCTAAGGCTCCTAAAGTTACTAGAGCTAAAAACAAACTTCTTACTAATTCTACCCATAAGGCCAAGTGATTGAGAAAATCTCCTTTAGCTTTTCCTTCGCCTTTCAACCTCTAGCTATCTACCTCTTCTTGTAGCAATTCTCAACTTATTGCACATCTCATCAAAAGACATGATCCCCAACAAGGCAAGCTGTTACTTGTACTCTAGTCTCATCTTCTCTAATAGTCTTTCTATCTTCCACCTAGAGTGGTCCTTCTCTTAAAGGTAGGTAGATTATTTTGAAAATTGGTTGAATCTTGTGATGAAGTTATCTTTATCAATGTTCCCTTCCTTCAGCTCATAAAATTCTGCCTCCTTTTTAGCTCTAAAGGCAATAAAAAAGTAAAAAAAATCAATGAATTGCAATTTAAACCGTTCTCAGGACCAATAGGATCCACCTGTCAACCTTATTGATTTTTACTAATGCTTGCCTTCCTTCACAAACTACACAAAAGTCAAGATAACCTTCTGCTCAACTAAATAAGGTACCACCTCAAAAATAGTCTCAAGGTGTTCAATCTAATGTTATACTTCACGTTCTTTTATGCTTCCATCAAAGGTAGGTGGATTGAATTGGGATAAACTCTTCCAAGCTTAGTCAATAGAAGTTTCAGATCTATACTACCCAAAACCCTAGATTGCTTAAGTGTTCTCTCTTTATATCCTTCTTCTTCCTTATACATCTCCTCCTCATTCTAAATGGTCTTACTATCCTCCAGACTCTATCATTTCTCGATGCACCTTGCTCTCTTATAGTGTTGTAAATTTTCCTCATTGGTTCTCTCATCTCAATTAGTAAGGCCTCATTACCTTAAAGCTCATTCTTAGGCTATTACATGTTATCTTGCTTGGTAAGAATGTGGTTCTTTAATGGCACCCTTGTGTTCTCAGGTACAATATTAGTGTTAAATGAATTGCCACCATTAGCAATAATAGCATATTATCTTCTCACCATTATTCTTCCCTCCTAAGGATGGAAGTAACCACAGAGAAAGTAAGTGTACTAATTAAACAAATCATGCAAAGGGAAGACAAGGTGTAATGAATATATATATATATATATTGCCAACTTCTAGATATGGATGCAAGCAATAAAATCTAAACATCATTCAAGGAATACCAATCTTGAAACTCATGAAACTAATACCAAATTATAATGTATGCCTTAATACTATCGAAACACTTTACACAACACAATCATGGTAACCAATATCAAGTAAATTCTTATATTAGGTTATCACAATAGAAATGGGTTAATTCAAAATAGTTAAAAAGTTAGGATCTAAGGAAATCCTTTTGAAAATGTGCTTGAGCTCAAGCATAATTAAAGAAGTCACGAAAGCATGATAAAAGGAAAACAACAAGAATGTATCAATCAAGGGCAAATCAGGCATTCTACACAATTTGCTCCATCTATCGTGGCACAAATTTAACTTTCTACAATAGATGGCATACGGGTAAGAACCCTCACGTTGTATCATTTGCTATGGTGCACACATATTAAGCCATAACACACCCTTGTTGTCATGATAGCTCTTTGAAACCAACTTTTGAAGTATCTCATTTCACCATATGATGTTCGATTTGAGCAATTTAAATATCCATATTTAGCTAATCAAGCCAACTAACTATTGGCACCAGTTTGACAATAAAATATATTATCATTTACAAATTGGACACTTGAGTACAAAAAGTGACATTTTCCTTGCAAAACATGCACAAAAGTGTCCAAAACCACAAACCAAGTGCTAATAGCCTAAGGACCACTTAAAAAAACTCATATGGACCATAATGTACCTAATAGAATAGATAAATCCATACACATATACATACATATATATATATATATCAAACACAATATGGCCATCAAAACCTTGAATTAACATTAACCAAGGAGGTAAATACATAATTTAACTTAACATCTCTATGGCCAACAACCAATACATAATCACATCAATATACACCCTTGTACTAATATTTTGGCCTCTCACAAAAATTTTCATATCATTTATAACAATCTTGGTCGACATATGCCAAAATAACAACATAAAATTTTTACAAATGCAGCCAAAAAACGCATGTGCTAAGTTGGCATTCATCAAGTACAACCAAATAGGAAAAGCTATACTACTAATAGCACTCTTATTTCTTGGTGTCATCCATCTTTCTTTCCTTTGCCTTTAGTAGAGCCTTTACTTGTAAAATTATAACCAAGAAGGGTGAGAATAATGTCTTAGTAACTAAATAATTTAATCTATCTACAAGTATGTAAGAAAGTATATGAGCATGTAAATTGGCAACTAAAACAAATAGTCAAGAATTATAACAATATGTGTGTGTTTTTTCATCTAAAAATAATGTGTGATCAAACACTCCACTTTATATTTTCCTTATTTCCTTTGACTAAAACTATGGGCTAATAATTCAATAGAACTAAGTCCATATTACTAGACTAGCCTCATCTCACCAATTATGGGAGGCATCTTGGCCAAAAGTGCCTTTACCCATTCTCGGATCATAGATTCCCCTATTTTTGAATGTTTGAGGTATTGTATACTCAATCTATCACATTGATAATACAAGGACTTCTAAAAAGAAAGACTAAGAACTGAGATTACCAAGGCGTAAGTACCATATGGATTTCATACAAATCTACTCGCTTAGGGTGAACTCCCACTCTCTCATAATGATTATGCTCAGACATATATCACATCAATGCATAGTCATTAAAATATATCTAGTTCACCATCAAACACTAATATTTCCAACTTGAAACCAAATTTCACAACAATAAATAGTTATCATGGCAATTATCTACTCCCTTAGCCTCCACTTGCTCAAAAGGATTCAAACAATAATTAATCTACAATATTAAACACTAATAGTCAATTTACAACTCTAATAAACATCCTTTAAACATTAAGTTAGGTTACCCATACCAACATTTCATCAACTTTATTTAACATCCATAAACTTATATAGCACTAAATTACAACCCACATTACTCTCAAACCTCTAATTCAAGCTTAAGGTTTGTCCAAATCCTAGCCCAAAGCTTCAAATCATTATAAAATCACTAAACTTAGTAAGAAAAGCTTAAATTAATTCCCAATAATTCCATGTAAGCCAATAGGCTTGACCATAACATCCCTATAACATAAATTAACCTCTTATAACACCACTCAACATTGAAAACATAAGGAGAAGGTAGATGAGATGTAAGAGAGACTTACCTAACTTGAATCAAGCTAAAAAAAATCCCTAAATGGCGTTAACGTCAAGCCCTAACAGACACAAGGAGAGCTCCCTCCAATTTTCCTTTCTTCCTTTCTCTCTTTTACATCTCTCGTGTGCCTGATTTAATGAAAATTAGGTTCGTCTACCATGACATAAAAACTAAGCCTCAAGTTTTTAGGTCCTCTCTTAGGCCTGGTGGCCCAAACACCATCGTAGTCTACTTTTAAGACTATCTAAAGATCTAATAAACTCATTAATAGTCAAAAGATAACATTAGCTTGATAAATCTCTAATTTACCAATTTACCCCTATTAAAACTTTAAATTTCAAGTTCTAAAATTTGAAAATGTTGCAGTTTGTGGGTACCTTAAATTTGATAGTAGGTCATTTTTTGTCTCTGAACAAATGTTATATGGGTCATTTTTTGTCTTCAATGTTGACACGCTTAATTACTGTTGTAGGTCCCATCATTTGCATTTTTTTAAAGATTTTTTTTACAAGGGTTAAGGTCATTTTTCCCTTAAAATTTTCCCTTAAGGTTTGTGAATACCCTAAACTCGATTTTAGGTCATTTTTGTTCCTGAACGTTTTAAACTAATGGTCAGGTAGTTGTAAACATTTCATGTTGAACTTGTTAGTAATGCATGATTAGTTAACTATTAGATATATGAAGTTATAGCTGTAAAATATTAAAGTAATAGTTGTAAATTATTTATGTGATAATTGTATACAAATTAGGATTAATTTGTAATACATGATCAATTTTACTATTGAATATATAAAGTTACAATTGTAAAAAATTAAAATAACATTTATAAATCAATGATAAAGTAGTTATAAATAATTAGTGTTAAATTTTATTAATAACACATGATCTGTTTGACTATTAGATATGTAAAGCTACAATTGTAAAATATTAAAGTGATAGTTATAAATTACTACTGAGACAGTTGTGAACAATTAGTGTTAAACTTCATTAATAACACATGATCAGTTTAACTATTAGATATGTAAAGTTATAATTATCAAATATTAAAGTAATAATTGTATATTACTAATGAGGTAGTTTTACACATTTAATATTAAACTTATAATGCATAATTAGTTTAATTATTAGATATGTAAAGTTATAGTTATAAAAGTTGAAGTGATAGTTATAAATTACTAATGAAATAGTTTTATTTGATTGATGTAATATATTTTTAATAGAGGTATTATTATTTTTGTACCCTAATTTTAAATTATACTCAAGTTTCAAAGGGCTTGATTGAGATTTCTCAATTTAGTGGGACTTATTTATAAATAAATTTGTTCCATAAGACCTATACATAATTTTCTGATATTTGAAATGTTCAATTTTTTTCATTAGATGATAGCTTACACAATAATTTAAAATGAAATACTTTCTTCCTCCATGAAAATGTAAATTCACATTAAAATTACCCTTACCTAACAACTTATCTATGTGCCTTCAATTGATTTAGTTATATGTAGTTTAGTTAGGTTTTGAACACCTTTACATGTAGAGCTATTTATGTAATTTGATCGGGCTAGTCAATCATATGGATAATATGACACTCCCAAAATTAAAAGATAAACACATACATAACAAGTATCACTAATTAGAACTTGAAAATTTTCAATTACATTCATAATTCTTTCTTAAACACTACAAAATACATATTAATTTAAGATGAAACACATTCCCTACCATGAAATTAAAATATAGATTTAAATGACTTATTCTTAAGCATCTAACCACCCTCAACTAGCCACTTGTCTATGAGCCTTCTCTTTGCTCTTATTAATGATCAGGAATAAAATATGATACAGAACAATCATTCCAAACATGATAGCAAGATCAAGCCACTTAGAATGACCCATTTCAACCTGCCAAGTATTTCTTAAGATTTCTCTACCACTCACAATCATGCTTCTACTTCTATCTTGATCATCAACCACAAACGTTAAACCGTCAAATTCATTCTTGAACAATCCTTGGAAGGCATATTTGTGGAATGAAACATAATGTAAAGGGTATCTCCAAACAAGCTTAGGAAGATCATGGGGCAATCTATAGAATCCACCAATCAGGATCATGATTCCTTGAATCCCACCAACAATGATCATCCCCATTATGAAATTAGGGAAGATACTCCCAATAACAAGCATACAGCTCTCAATAGACATTACAATGGCAAATAGCACAGAAACTAAATACACAAAGCGTCCAAGTCCTTTGTGCAGGTTAGAGAGATAGTATATTATAAGAGCAGGTATTAAAGACATCAGTAGCATATAGGGTATAGTAGATAATGTGTTGCCAATAAGGAAAGCAGTAACACCATAATGCCCATTCAACCTCTCTCGTTTAAATACCTAGCTTGATAAAAAGAAGAAACTTTCAGCATGATAATTTGAGTACAATATATAATGAGACAATTATCTCTGTTGATGTAACTTGTATTAATTAGATGTAAGGTGAAGTCCTACTTTAATCAATTAAAGGTCTAATCACAAATATATAAGTGCATGATGAGTCCATCCAATATGTAGCTTAAGTTATTTTAGAGTAAGTAACAAGCCTCAGGTTGGATTAATGTTAAAACTCTAGTAATCTTTGAAGAGTAGGACATGGTGAGAGAAACGTTACCTTCATTTCTTCCAAAAGTGGAGGTAATCCACCAATGAGGGTTATGAAAGAGAGGATTGAAATAAAGAAAGTGAGCAACGACCCTCTAGCCTGTAATATTATTTGCACTAGATAATATTAATGCCATCAATCAAATTTGTTAAGACATACATAATTTGTCATGCTTTATTTCTCCTCATACCTGAATAGCTCCATTACTTAAGCCAATGTTGTAGAATATAGTGCCCAGACTTAAAGAAAGTGCAGTATATACTGCTAGGCGTAACCAATAATTGCTTATATTACGAAGCATATGAAGGGAAGATCTTCTTATAAGAATGAGGCATTGGGTCAAGAATCCAGCATGGATTCTCTTCTTCTCTATTGCATTAGAATCCTAAAATTGATGCAGCAGTTAGTATTTCTTGTATTACTTTCAAAGATATATATGTGACATTGATCTTACACTATCAATTACTTCTTCCATTTCTTTTTGAATTTGTTTCTGAATTGTGGATGACATATAGGACTTGATGAGGATATTAATAGCTTCTTCTGTAGTTACACCTTTACCAAAGCCTTCTTCAGCATCCTGCAAACAATAAACTTTTAAGGTTAGACAATACTGAAGTATTCTAGGTTTTACTATAAATTATAGCAAGATAGAGAACCTATTATCTTATACCTGGTCAAAATCTTTGTTTATGATCCTCAAGAAATGATCAGAAGGATTGTTCAAACTTGGGCAAGGAAAACCATTTGAAGCAAAAAACTACTCACAATAAAAGGAGACTTTTTATGGTTAGCTGCAAATGAGTTATAAACTTGTTTTTCTTTGTTTTATTTGAAAATAATTATTAATGTAAATATGGATATATCTACTTTCTAACCTCATTTGTATCTAAAGCAGGGCCAAAATATACTGTTTCACCAGAAGACAAAAGACAGAGGTTGTGGAAAAATTGAAAAACTTCACTACTAGGCTGATGGATAGCTACTACAATAGTCCTTTGAATGCCATCCCTTAACTTAATGAGTCTTGCAATTCTACTCATAACATAATACGAAGCTGCACTATCAAGACCACTGGTTGGTTCATCAAGGAAGAGAAGCTTGGGATGTGTTATAATCTCAATGCAAATGCTAAGTCTTCTCTTTTGTCCACTGCTAAGTCCTTTCGAAGTCCACCCCCCAATCCTTGTATGGATGGCATCTTGTAGACCCATTTCTCTTAGTGTAGAGTCTGCTCTCTCCTTCTTCTCTTCCATGGACATGGAATCTGGAAGTTGGAGCTGGCATGAGTAATATAAAGCTTCTCCGGCCGTTAAAGTCGACAACATAGCATCATCTTGGGTGACATATGCCTGTGAGTGAAGTCATATAAGACTCTTTTTTATTAAAATTCTTAGTAAATATCTTCATGGCATTTACATGGAGCCTAGCTCCCCTCCTCTCACCCCCTATTTAATCTAAACAGTCTAGATTCAATATTTTAATTTTAATTTTAATTTTAATTTTAATAGAATAAAAAAATTAAATCTACACTATCCAAACTATATGTGAATAGTCAATTTATAAAAATTATTAAAAAATTTAACATTAAATTTGAACCACCTATATTAAATCCAAACTGCCCAAAATTAGTAATGAAACATATTTATTTAAATTTTTTATAACTTTTTAATAAATATAAAAATAAATACTTCCTTCGTTCAAAAATATAAGACATTTGTTTAGAGGTTGGATATTAAAAAATGTAAAGTATTTTTAGTCTTTCAAGGTGTAATCATCACTTTTTTTTTCAAAAGTACCCTTATTGAATAGATCACTTTATTTTGTTAGGGTGAAACACCTTGTTAAAAGGGTAAATATAAAAATATAGAGTTAATTTAAAAATAAATAATTACTTTATTAGGAGGTAAGATTCGATTAAAAATGATTAATATTTTTTAACAGAGGAAGTATATTTAATCTAGATTGTCTAGATTTAATAGGGGGTGGGAGGAGAGGAGAGGGGGATTTTAATTTTAGATTTAAAATTTGACTTTAAAATTTATTTATTTATTTAAAAGATCTTTCCAGATAACATAAAAAATATCAAAGAAAGAAAAGAGATGAGCTAAGATTTAAAACCAAAACAAAACATTAGAATTTTAAATGTGACAAACTTACCTTTATTCTTTTATTAGTGAGAGACAAGAACCAAAGATGAGAGATGTGAGAATAATAGAGACACCATCAATTAAAACAAGAAGAGAACAACAAAGTGTGGGTGGCTGAAATTTCAAGTAAGTAAGGAGAATTTGAAATTATAAAAGAATTGTAACAAAAAATGGAATTTAAATTTGGGTCAAATTTAAATCTATATATTTTCATGTATATAAATGGGAATTTGACTCAACTTGAAATTCAAATCTAAATTCAAATTATAATTTCTCTTTGCATGCATTTGGAAACACTAGAATTTAAATTTAGATTTGATCCAAATTCAAATTCACATTTTCTTATAATTGCTTAGTGAATTCAAATATTTTATACACCTTAGTTATTTGAAATGTCAATAACACTAATACTCTCATTCCTCTCTCATTTTTATTTCAATTTCCTCTTTTCATTCTCTTTGAATTTGAAATTTTTTGAGCTGTCCAAATAAAATATTTTAAATATATGGCTTTCATACATGAGATTTTTAACTTAAATTTCAAATTTAAATATACTAATCCAAACATTACCTTATAGATGTTCCATTATAGGCTAGTTCTTGTTTGTGGTTGTTGATAATAATGTTCCTAGTTCCTTCGTGTTTGAACCCAATGTCCCTACAACCAATGGAGATCTGGATATGGATTCAATTTGAGCCAGATCTCCCTCTTACATATATAAATATATGGATTTAGATTTAAATTCAAATCCATATTTTTATAATTAATTTTTGTATTTTAAAATCTTCATTCTTAGTTATTTAAAATTTCTGTCATTTTAACTCTTGTTCTTTTTTCATTTTGGATGCTTTTGTTACTTTCGTCTATTCTCTCATTTTCACATCTCATCGATTGAAAAAAAAAAAAAGGTATAGTATGCTTGTCACTCCTAATTTTTCATTTTTGCTTCAAATCTCAGCTTAAATATGAGATTTTAAATACTTTATTTGGATTTTAAATCTAAAAGCCAAATCAAAATTTCCATGCAAACGCAACATCATAAAATTATTTGAATATTCTTACAGATGTTCCATAAGCTAGTGCCTCTTTGTGGCCGTTGATAAGAATCTTCCCAGTTTGCTTTGTGTTTGAACCCAATCTTCCTGTAATTAAATAAGCTAGTTACCGTTCTTTCACTTACACTATACTTTAGCTAAAAGTAGTGGCAATCAAAAACAACTTCAAACAACACGTGTATAATAATATGTTCTTTAGTTAATTTTCATATCAGCAACCAAAGTACTGTATATATATATATATATACTGTTAGGTTGTCAAGGTAGGAGTAAACTTGAGTTGGGTTAGATGTCGTGGTGTGCTTTTACTGCTCTAACCCGTTTCTCCTTTCCTCTGTTTCGAAATGGTTGCTTCCCATTCCTAACATATAGTCTTAACAAAAGAACTGAACATGATTCAACTGCTTAGGACAAAATAAAGAAAAAGATCGAAATGCATGAACCTGCAAGGGCATCAAGGAGAGTGGTCTTGCCGGAGCCAGAAGGACCCATGATAGCCAAAAGCTGTCCAGGCTTGGCATAGCCAGTGAGACTCTTCAAAATAGGTTTCTTGTTCTTCCCACTTGGAACAGTCACACACAAGTCTTGCCATGTCACCGACACTGATCTCTGTCCTTTGCTGCTGCTTTCATTATCATGATTTTTTGGCTTGGCTTTAATGGACAGATACGTGTCTAGTGGCACAACTGATACGCAGTCATGGCTTGGAGATGGAGCATGGTTGACGCGTGAATCGAGAAGGGAAGGCCTGGAATGAAATATTAGTTTCTGGCTTCTCCAATGTAATCTTAACTGGATATGTAAGTGATGACCTCCATGGATAAGAGCTGAGTTTATAAAGACCAGAGGCAGAGAGCCAGGATGGTGATTGCTGAGTTAGGAGTTACTTTTTTCTTTGAATAAATTTTTTTAAAAATCAAATTATAAATATCTGTATTATATTATTGGGTTTAAGTTAAAGAAATTTTTTTTTAAAAAATTGAATTTGGGTTAAGAGAAAAATCCAGGTAAATTTAACTCTCTGTTTTTTTTTTTTTAGAAAAAGCAAATTAATATATATACACACACATAAAAGAATAAACTACAGTTATATATTTAAAAAAATGAGAAGAAAAGCTAAAAATAGAGAAAAAGTAGTTTTCATGCAAGACATTAATGTCATAAAACTGATGAAAGAGGAGTGTTGACATTCATGGCAACAATATTGCTTCGATCCTTGATGATAGAATCAACCATCAAAAATCTCCTTCAAAGACAATCGAGGACAGACCCAGGAGAAATTCAAGGGGCCCTGCCCGTTCAACTTTGATATGTATAAAGGGGCTAGATTGTCATAGACAAAGAGGTTCATATATTACACATGCACCAATTAATATGTGTGTGTGTTTTATATTTTTAAATAGAGGGATTATATAATGTCATATTTTGGTAGTACAACTAAATCTCACCTCTGAATTAAGTAATTACCTGCTTTTAAATTAATTTTTTTTATATTTACCTTTATTAAATACCCTACAATAAATATAAAGTCATTATTAATAGGGGCAGTTTTAGAAAAAAGACAATAATTTTATCTCAAAAGACTCAAAATGCCTTACATTTTTTAATATCTAACTTTTTAAAAAATGCCTTACATTTTTAAATGAAGTGATTATATAATATCATATTTTATCAATACATTAAGTATATGCTCCTTCCTGTTTATATTATAGGATAATTTTAGAAGCCCTATGTAGTTAAAAATATAAGGAATTGAGTAGTTTTAAAATTCTTTTTCAACCATATCCTTATTTTATTTATTTTTTTTCTTTTGAAAAAATGATATACTTGAATGTCAATGTCATCATTAAGATATTTATATAGAACATTTAATGGGGTAGGATTGAAAAGATGTACATATTTTTTAAATATTATAAGTCTTCAACTAATTTTTTTTAACCATAAAGTTGTTATCAATACCTTATAACTTAATTATATTGCAGGTAGGATGGAGTATAAAATAAGTTTATTCAAAAATATTGAATAAGTTTATTTTTTTTATTATTTCAATTGTTTATAGTATTGGTTAATGTTTGTTTAATATATTAAAATTTAAATTTATTTTTAAAAAATTTAATGATTTATTTTATTTAAATGATTAATTTATAAATAAATATAAAAGTACTTTATAAATATAATTTATATATTTTCTTTGTAGTTTTAAAAATAATATGTAAAATATATTATTTTACTTGAAATAATTTTATCTTTAGTTTCTTTATAATTATAGATACTATGTTATGATTTGTTTTCAGATGATAAAATTGTTTTTAAAAAACTTAAAAACTTTAAACCAACGTACATATTTTTCTAAAAAATTTGGCCCCCCTCCAAATCCACGCTAGTTCCGCCCCTAAATACAATTGATTCTCAAAGATAAGATGAGGCAATTAGGTTAAACTTCCTTAAAGCAATGCGAATCCATCATAGGGCCGATTTGAAACAAAGGATCGAGGTAAAAAAGAAATTTAGTGTCTTGAGTGTGCTTCAAATGAATTTAATATTTCAAATATTAAAAAAAGGAAGGGATAGAAAATATAAAGAGGAGAATGTAAGGGAATGATTTATGTTCGCGTTTATTATTTTAAAAAATTATTTTGTAACATAGTTTTTAAAATTATTTTTAAAACAAAATAAAATGAAAATAATTTTGGTTATGTCAATTAAAAATAGTTTTAAAATTAAAAATAAAATGATAGTGGTAGTTATAATCAGTTAATAATAATAGTAATTAATAATAAAATTGATGAAATTAACTATAATTTGTAATAATCAAATGTAATATATTTTAAAAATAAAAAAATAAAAACAAATTAAAATTTTTTTATTTTTTAAATGAAAACAGGTTTAGAACAATTAAATGAAAAAAATTTACCCAAACAAATTTTAAAATTTTTTTTATTTCTAAAAATAAAAAATTTAAAAATAAAAAATAAACTTGTCCTAAATTAAAAATAAAAAAATTTAAAAATAGAAAATAAACTTGTCCTAAATTCAAAAATCTCATAATCATGAACCTTTTCCACTCTTATAAAATACTTAAGTGTTTTCTTCTATTTGTATAGTTTCCGAACTTTGCTCTCTGTACAGTTGATTGAGGTAATAAATTCTCCTTCACTCCCCCAAAAAAAAAAAAAAATTCTCATAGTCATAATTTGCGTTGGGAGATTGTCCCATCACCTGTACTGCGTGGCTCCCTCATCTTCGGGGCCCAGGATGGTGTGAAAGAGTTTTGAAGCTTTACGCAAAATTATTTAATAAGTCTAATATATTATCATTCGTTTATTTTTATATGATTTTTTTTAATTTCTTAAAGCCAGATTCAAAATTTTTATTTAAGATTTTTATCACTTCAAATTTTATAAAAAATTAAAACAAGTATAATTTCAAATAAAAAGTAAAAGAAGAACAAACACATATGATATGATCAATACTTAAGATCATAATTGGTGTTTGTTTTTTCTTTTTAAACAAGACTCCATTTTCAAATAAAAATACAAAATTAACATTAATATTTAACAGAAAAAATAATGATGGATCATATAAAATATAGGTAAGCATTTTTGAAGGCCTAAGGCAATCATCTCATTGGCCTAATAGCACACATGACTTTTTCGGTGCCATGATGATCATTATTGTGATGATATCCAAATCATTTAAATTTTGATAATCCAGATTGAATTGTGTAGAATATATTTCAGTAGTCAATATTTAATAATTATAAAAATTTAAATATTAAATTAGGCCTTCCAAATTAAATTTAAACCAGATAGGAAATAAAAAATTATTAAAATGATTTAATAATTTTTATTTAACAAATATAAAAAAATAATATTTTAAATATGTACCATCTAAATTAAAATTTAAATAATTCAAATCTCATCACATAAATACCCAAGTTAGGTCCCTCGAACGGACAATGAAGAGAGACAAGACGAGCCGCGTGGTGGTAGGGAACTAGTAGACAGTGGCAGATAGATGGGGCATGCTGATAGAGGTAATTTGCATCACATATTTGATTCAATAATATCGCCTAATAAATACTTTCCCTGATTTAGAATACTTAGTCCGGTGCTATGTACTGATATGTCCGTTGTCAATCACCTTGCAATAATTTATATAGTATTAAATTTTTCCCCCCTAAATCTCCCCTGTTTCTTCTCGATTTCCACTTAGGAGACAGAGAGTGTGTTTTTTTTTTTTTTGTTTAATTTATTATATTTACTCAGTTAAAACTTAAAATGGTAAATTAATGCAATTTTTAAACTGATATGTAATAGGAAAGGGAGGACTACAAGACATTCTTAACTACATACTGCAGCTGTTTTAAATTATAAAGTATTTTTAAAAAAAATTTATTTAAAATATAAAATATTTTAAGTAAATTAAAGTTTCATTAAATATTTCAATTCTAATATTATTTTTTTCTCTATAATTAATTTATATCCTTTTTGTTTTTAATATATTAAAGAATGAGTATTTTTGAACGTTTATATTTTTAAAATAAAAATATAAGATTGTTAAGTGTATTTAATAAAATTTTTAATATGTGAGATTTTATTTAAAAATATTTTATAATTTATAACAGAGGAAGTACAATCTAATTAATAAAAGCGTGTAATGAAAAAAATATAATACTATTGATTTTTTGCAAAATGTTTCTTTTTTATATTTTGGACCACCACTATCTGGTAGAAAATGTACTATATTTTGAATGGAGAGTATCATTAATATTTATATAACTAGGTGAAACTTGTCATTCCTCCAAATTAATAGCTTTTAATAAGATTACCCAACATATTTCTGGCCACATTTTTTTCATGGACCATGTAATTTAACTCTTTGGCAGTTTGGAGTTCAACAACTTGTCCTCCTCCTTGGCTTCTTCAATTATATTGCACCCTTCACAATTCACATTATTAAAAATGTGGATACATTAATTCAATATTTTTTTAGCCATTAAAAACAACTGAACAAGTATTGGTATATACTTCTTTAATCTTATTTATAAGTTATTTTTAATATATTTCATCAAAATAAAAAAATATTAAAATTCATTTATTTTATTTAAAGATTTAACAAATTTTTAACTTAATCTCTATTAAATATACATAATTTAATTAATAAAGGTGTAAAAGGAAAAATTTTGTATTTAAATATACATTATTAAAAATATACATAATTTAATTTAATTTATATTTTCTCATAGTTTTATGGCAAGAGAATTTAAGTGAACTCCCATTAATTATGAAGCATGTCAATTCTATGGATCCGCATATGACAGCTGTTTCGGACGGTGAGTGTATTATTATATTAAATTGTATGGTTCCCAATCCCATTTTAGAATGATGCTTAACTTTAACAACTCAGCTTTTTATGGTTATTTGGTTCAGATCTGATAGCACTGAAGATCGTCGTCGTCGTCGTCGTCATCTTCTTCTTTTAATGGCAGGACCACTCCAAATTAAATAATAAAAACGACCAAACCATATCGTTACACCTATATCATTTGCAGAGGCTGCAAAAGTTGTGGTATCTTATTAAATCCAGTTATAAAGTTAATATAGTTAATTTATACTGACAAAGTCCTATAATAATACTAGAACTTAAAAAAGTAATGAAAATGTTCTTGCAAGAAAATGGAAGTGACACTCCACTTGTTGCTGTAAGTTTTTCAATGTTTGCAGACACTGATTGTCTCAAAAGTGGATGACTAATTCAATTCAAAAAATAATTATCTGTAAAGAGCTTTTAGATCCTAACTTCTTAAAATGTTTGAACTTCAAGAATCAATTTCATTGAAATCTCTCCAAAAAAGAAAGTTTATCCATTGTTTGAACAGAAAGTTGTAGGTAAACTAGTGACATTGATCTACTTGATATAAAATTATTGATCCTTAAAAATTCAACTACTCTTGATGTTGCCTAATTGATGACATCCTGAGGATTAAAAGATTTACCTGTACTATACATCTTCTTGGCTTTCTGTCTTCAGCTTGATTCCTTTGTCCAGTTTAGAGTCCATTTTCTCCTTTAGAACAAAGTACAGTTTACCAAAATATAAAGTAAATGCTCTAGCTGTTTTCGCAGGTGACTTTGTTGTAGTGCTGTTTTAGTTATAACAATCACAAACTATCTTTTTTTTTTTTTTTTTGCTTTTGTTTTCAATATTAAGTTTTGAACATTTGAATTTGTATTTTCGTTTTACTTTATTAATATAATTTATCTATTATAAAAAAGACTAGCTAGTGAAATAAAATGAACTTAGATGAGATATTCAAATTAATAAGTAATACTTCTGGTTTTTGTTTAT